GAGCGGCTGGAGAAGGAAGCACTGGGGAGGCTGGAGAGGTTGCCAATGCCAAGTCCAGAGAGGCTGGAGAAGGAAGGACTGGGCTGTGGGATTACAGCAAAAAGGAGTGGGTGTGTGGTTCCTGTATTACTTGTCAAATAGATTTCTTTTTTTCTTATTTGTTTGATTTTTAGTAAATTTGAGTAGTGCAACCAGACAGCTCATTTGGAAACATTTCCATGACCCCTAAAAGAAATCTCATACTCATCAGCAGTCATTCCTCATTCCCACCTCCAACTTTTTTTTCCTTTTGTGGCAAGGAGTGTCTGACTCTGTCGCTCAGGCTGGAGTGCGGTGGTGTGATATCATGGCTCACTGCAACCTCCACTTCCCAGGTTCAAGTGATTTTCCTGCCTCGGCCTCCCAAGTAACTGGGATTATAGGCACGCACCACCATGTTCAGCTAATTTTTGTACTTTTGGTTTAAATGGGGTTTCACCATGTTGGCCAGGCTGGTCTCAAACTCCTGACCTCGTGATCCTCCCATCTCGGCCTCCCAAAGTGTTGGGATTATAGGTGTGAGCCACTGCGCCTGGCCATATTTTCGTTCGTTTACCTTTATTTTGACAAAATATTAGACTCAGAAAAATTGTAAGAATACTAGAAGGAATTCTCTTATGCCCTCTGCCCAGATCCCCATGTGACTATTTTACTGCATTTACCTTATCCTTCTATGAGTCCATCACCCCTCCACACGCACTATTTTTTCTCAAATGTTTGAGAGTAAGTTGTACATGTGACATCCCTTTATCTATAAAAACTTAAGAGAAACCAGGTTATTCCTTTATATAACCACTATGCAATTTTCAAAATCAGGAAATTAACATTGATACAATATTATTAGCTGAATCTACAGATCTTATTTAGACTATCAGTTATCCCAACGGTGTCTTTTGTGGCAAAAGAAAATTCCGCATCATGAATTTTTCATGTATCTCTTTAGTGTCCTTTAATCTGGAAACTCATTGTGTTTCCTGACAGTGAAATTTGTTTAAAGTATAGGGCCTGGGAGGTTGAGCTGTAGTGAGCCATGATTATGCCAGTATACTCCAGCCTGGGTGACCCAGCAAGACTCTGTCTCAAAAAATAAGTGCAATGACAAGTAAGGATGCTTTATAAAGAACACATTGTTTATTTGATGAACAAGTTTTGGCTGTAATGGGTCTGTTACAGAACTTTTGAACGTCAACAGTGGATTGCTTTGAATCTATATTTCAGAGGTGAACTCCAGCCCAACAGGTCATATCTACTGGACTTTCTGAATCAGCAGAACCCAAAATAATAAAAATTTACTCCAGATAAGCTGAAAGTGACCATAATTTTTTCAAACTTCAAATATATCTGGTGTTACCAGTGTTTTGTGACATACCACTAAGGAAACTTTATTAAGCAAAAATTTTTTTAAAAAAAATTTGCAGTGTAAGATAGAAACCAAAGATCTGAAACTGTCTAAGGAAGAGTAAAGGAGAAAAGAAGAATTATAATTGTTATATAGTTCTTTTCACTCAGCTGATCTGAGTTGATACCCATTTCAAGCATATTACAGACAAATTTTACTTACAGAATAATATGAAAATTAAGGGAGAAATGTTATAATTCTGGCAGAATAGTTAGCTATGATTATAAGTAAAGTAGTAACTCTCCATTTGAGATAAATATTCTGACTATATGTGCTTCTTTTCAGAGTATTAGTACCTATTTATCACCCAAATAAATGATGTTATGTTAGTCCTCTTGTGTTTGAAATACAGAAAAAAGGCAAATGATAAAAGATAGATTACAATTTTGCAGGTGTATCTCTTTGTCTCTTTTTAAAAATGTGTTTTGAGGGCTACTCTGTAATTAATTCTTGGCTATAAATAGAAGCGTATATTGTGCTGGGTAAGAACCCTGGAGCACAATCCTGTTAGTTTTATATTCTCTCAACTGGCACTCTTAGCACTGAGAAACTTACAAACTAGAGAAGAAGGCTCTTTCAGGTTGACTTGTTTTCAGTAAGGTATATCTAAATAACACTTTTGACTTTCCTTCACATTTGTTGGCATGAACTTTTGAATGTGAATTCTGTGGACTTGGTAGCCATTTACTTTCTATCTTTGTGAGCTAACATTGGATTTCAGCTAGAAGCCTCAATCTTACCCTTACTAAGGCAAACTGCTTAATATAGTTAGTCAACAACCAGATTTACTAAAAATTTCTAAAGATTGGAGAGTTTTGTATAAAGCCCTTATCAGTGTGGTCCCTTTTCTCCTAAGTTTGTCTTCAAAATAGAATTTGTCTTAGTCATCTTTTTTTTTTCAGGGATTTTGTAGAAACTAAAATAGTTGAGAGGAAGGCATGTGAACTCAGCTACTGTGTCGCGTAGTGAAGCTGAGGATTGCGGAAGTGCTGAGTGTGAGCACAGCAGGTTATGGGCTGGGGCAGAGGCTCACGCCTGTATTCTCAGCACTTTGGGAGGCCAAGGTCACTTGAGCCCAAGGAGTTGGAGACCAGCGTGGGCTACATGTTAAAACCCTGTCTCTACCAAAAAAATACAAAAATTAGTCAGGTTCGATGGCACATGCCTGTAGTCACAGCTACCTGGGAGGCTGAGGTGGGAGGATTGCTTGAGCCTGGGAGGCAGAGGTTGTAGTGAGCCAAGATCATGCCGCTGCACTCCAGCCTGGGCAACAGAGCTAGACCCTGTCTCAAAAAAACAAAAGCAAAACAGTTTTGTCTAAATGTGTGGCTTTCACATGTTTTTCAGACCTCATAGCTACCTGGGAGATTATCTTTATAATCTGTGCTTTTTTTTTTTTTTTTTTTTTTTTTTTTTTTTTTTT